AATGCATTAGTATATGTTACGATCTCTCCTAGTAGAAAACAAGCATTTGAAGATTTTTGTGCCGAACTAGGGGTGACGACTACTAAAATATTTGTTAGCGACGTAGGCCATAGATGAAACTCTACTTACTTGCTATTAAAGTCATGTGAATGTTTCAAAAATTTAATAACTGACTTTTATAACAATAGACGCGTTAGAAGTGATGACGATGGTATGTTAAATGAATCCGATCGAGTTTTAGCTTTGAAAGTTAAACGATTTTTGACATCTTTTTATGAGATTACAAAGATTTTATCCGACATTTATTATCCACAAGCTGTATGGTGCTCGAACGCCTTTATATAATTGCAAGAACATTTCATAAATATAAAAATGATCCTACTTTTAGTGAAATTATAATTGCTATGGAATTAAAGTTTAGAAAATATTGGAAAGAATTGCCTATGTTATTTTCTTTAGCATGCGCAACGGATCTTCGATATAATATTTCGGGAACTAAATACGTAATTGATCAAATTAATAAAGTTTTAATACTTGATACACCTATCACCTATAAGAATTTAGAGCAAACATTATGTGGAATGCATGATTTATATGCAGAAAGAATGAATGCGAATGTTAGTCGAGTATACTCTGCACCTACTCTTTCGGCTGAAATTGAAGAAGATGATGCCGAAATAATGAATTTATTTCAAAGAATTAATATATTTAGACATGATGCAATTGTAATGTGTTCATCTAGTGTCATGTCGTCTATATTTGCATCTCATCAAACATCGATCGAAACTCAAAATACGATGCCTGTCGAATTAATTGATTACTTTAATCATAATATGCCAACAGACAGAACAATTAAAAAAATTTCAGAAAAAATAATTGAATTCTAACGAAAGTATGAAAGACGTTGACCAATTGTTTCTGCAATTGCGAAATATCTGCTGACACCTACAGTTAGCACTGTTGCTTCGAAGTTTGCTTTTAGTGTAGGTGAAAGGGTTTTGATCGATGTCAGGAGCCGACTGAAAGAAGATATTTTGAAAGCGTTAATGTGCGTTAAAGATTGACAGGACGCTCATTTTCGACTACAAGATAAATACGCTGAAATTGCATGTCGTCAGGTAAATGATATTTGATTTAATTATATTAATCAAAATTTTCTTATTTTTTAATCGTTAATTTAATTTTCTTTAAAAAATTGTACGTGTTACAACAAGTTGTTCGTATACAATTTTTAACTCCGCCTACTTAAAATTGATGTAGCTAGTCCCAAACCCGGATAAAAGGGGAGGGTTTACATTTTATCTACTTTAAAAAGAAATCAAAAAAATATATTTTTTGTAAATGTGTTTCAAAAAACAATTCGTTTTCATTATATAAATATTTTGTACTTTATTAAAAATATTACAATATGATATAAATAAAAATAAAAAAGTGTCTTCATTAAATTATTTATATTTTTTTAACACTTTTTATTTTTTTAAAAAGTGTTTTCATTACATTATTTGTGTTTTTCTCTATTTAAAAAAAAAAGGAGCTCATGAGCTCGGACGAGCCACGAGCTCGTGGGCCTAGCTGAGCTCGCCCAAAATCAACGAGCCACGAGCTCGGCTCGCGTTAACTCGTGAGGTTAAAGGCCGAGCCGGCTCGGCCCATTGCCACCATTAGTGAATTACAAACGCAAAATCCTTGACTTCTTCGATCACTTCCCTCAACTTTGTAAAGAGCCAACGTTCGACAGATTATTCTTATTGTTGACCACGCCGAATGGAAAACGATAAATTTGGATGTTGACATGTAGTAATAACCAACTTGCCTTAGTATCTAGTTTTAAGAGTTGTACCATCGATTAAAATTAAGCGTTGCATTGCATTTCGAAATCTCCGAATACATTGAATAAGGGTTATGAAAAAAACTTAAAGGAATTCTCGCTCTCCATCTCAATAAAAAATGTCGAGTCAGGATTAGTTGTTCCCATGTTATGGCAATACATGATCAATTTAGCGTAGTTCTCCTTGGCCAAGCCCATTAAATCCTTCAACGTGCATTCTTTGGCCTTCCAAGCCTTATGGTAGTTCATAATCATTCCATATACTTGACGGACGTCGTTAATGATGTCTGAAGATCTATAGGTTATCCGTGGGATCCTAATACTTATGCATTATCCGTCGATCAATAAACCATGCTCAAACTTGCATGTGATCATTTTGACGAATTCCCACTTCGTAATTATGTTCCCATGTATACTTGCAAATTATAAATAACTCATTCGTGTCTAACTTAGTCGCTTGTAAGCGTCAACGACAACTTTCGTCAAAACAAACAATCTTCAACAACGACTTGTTTGATTTTTTTAACTTGAACCCAAAGTTGTATTTTTAATGTCATTCGGTGCATAGCTTCCTGTAATTTTTTTTCAAACAGTTATTCGACGTGTAAATCATCGTCCTCGAAAACCATACGTGAAAAATTAGAGAACGATCTACTCGATCTAGTCCCTGAGCTCCTATCCCGCTCATATCTTTGACGAGATAAGGGAATCAAATCCTCATTTGTAAATTCATTTTCATTTTCATTGTTATGAACCATCGATCGAATTCTGTGCGTAACAGCGAGATCATTATGAGGAGTAACTGTCTCAGGAATACCACACCATCCTCATGAGTTATTTTCACTATGTCCCAAAAATTATTGGCATTGTCATTTGCTCCATCCGAATATTCCTGTTCACCTTCGCTGACATCATTCATCACTAAAGTCACGCAGCGAGGAGTCATGTGTATTTTGTTAAATTCAAATAGATAATTAACTTCAGGATCAGAAGTAATATTCGTAGGTGGAATGAAAATGGATGAATGCTCGTTGAATAGAAATATCAATTCCATATCATACTGAGAGGAATCGACATTCAACTCGTTTTGTAAGTCATGGTACATTTCTTGCATACGATGTACTCTTTGTGTGCCAATATAACGAAAACGAAATTAAACATATATAAATACACTTACCGATTCGAAGTGATTACTATAAAAAAAAATATTTCTTTCTTCATCGTTCGATAAATTTCTAAGATTATGAAGTTGAAGTTGAAGAAGATGGAAGGTGAGATATTTTTATTTGTATTGGAATAAACAGATTAAAAATTTAGTCGATTTTGAAATTTTTAGTGGGACCTTTTTTGTTTTCACTTGTTAACTAAAAATGGTAGTATTGTCTTTTAAACAAAACAATATTTTCTAATTGTATAATATACTTAAAGACATCTTTGTCTTTTACCATCCAAAAAGCTATTGTGAAAATATGATATAATTCAAAAGTCAATGTGAAAAATAAGGGGTTTGACGAGGTCAATTTTAAAAGTACCCCATTAATAACACAAAAATGCATAAAAGAAAATGAATATTAATTAAATGAGTGAATGTTAATTAATCAAGAATTAATAATAGGTAATTCGTATATTAGTGAAAGCACATAGGTGAAATGAATCTATCAAATGTACATGTATATTGATAGTAACTAAATAGTTAAATAAATTAAAGGAAAAATTGTAGCAATGGTCCCTAACCTTTTCATTTTTTGCAGATTTTACCTTAACTTTCATTTTGTGCCAGCTGATATTCCTAACCTGTCATAAATATGTACCTGAGATCCATCTAGACGGAAACTGTCCAAAACACCATCCAAAAGTACCCTCCAAAAATATATCAACATCTAATAAAACTGTTGCAGTAGCAAATAGTTCAAGAAATTTTTTTGATCAACTGACGGTGTTTTGAACGGTTTCCATTCAAATAGATCTCAGGTGCATATTTACGAAAGGTTAGGGACCTTCGCTGACACAAAAAAAAGGTTATGGTAAAGTCTGCAAAAACGAAAAGGTTAGAGACTGCTGTTGTAATTTTCCCTAAATTAAATGCATATTGAAAAACGAAAAGTAATGTATTATTAAAATAATTAAATTATAGTAGGGCTAAAATTGTCCAAAAAATAATTTTCATTTAATGTGATATTTAATTGTACTGAAATAAAATCTGAATATTAATTAGTATACATAGACGTAAATAATGAAATGCATTCTTAAATCTGAAACGTGAAAATTCTAATTAACTTAGGAGCCTGTTTGGGAGTAATTTTGAGAATCGATTTTTTGACCGTTAGGAGAAAAGTGGGGTCCACCTGTGAGAGAAAAAGTCAAATATGACAGTCGGAATAGTAAAATAACGGTAAAAAAATCAATTTTTTAGGCCAAACAATCATTCCCAAACAGGCTGTAGAATTAGTAACACTGAAATGCATAAAATGAACATGACTATTAATAAATGAACTTGAATATTAACCCTTGAGCCACATTATTTTCTTAAGAATGTATTTTTGAATAGTCATTGATGGAAAATATGTGGCTAAAAAATATGAATTTTTTTGAATAATATTATTTTATTGAAAATGTGTGGTTAAAATGATGTCAAATCACGGTTCAAGATTTTTTTTTTTTTTAAAGAGTGTGGTTCAAAAAGGACCTTAATTAATTGATAATTAATAACACTACAATAAATGAATATTAATTAAATGAGCGAACATTAATTAATTAAGAATTAATAATAGATAATTCATACATTAATGAAAGCACACAAATAAATCTATCAAATGTACATGTACATTAATAGTAATTAAATTGTTAAATAAATTAAATGGATATTGAAAAATGAAAAGTAAGATATTTTAAAATAATTAAATTATAGTAGCGAGAATCGTATAGTAGTTAGAACGTTCAAAAAAGATTTTTACTTAATGTGATATTTAATATATTATAGATATTTTATTAGAATAAAATCTATCAAAATTGAAATAGTTTTTAGAAATAAAAAATTCAACAGGGGAATAACGAAAGTTAACGACCAGGAACGACAGCTTACCTGTTCGGGCCCACTTCCTATACTGTCTTTATTATTCAATTTCGTCGAATTTCAAGCATTGTCGCACGTCTCGTGTCAACGGCTCTATGACTTCTCTTTAATGTGGAATGCGATTTTAGTTTTACATTGAAACAACGCATCATTCTTCAACTATGACAGAAACACTTGAAATTTGATTGATCTCTGTGTGTATGTATAGGTACTGAAGATTTTCTTCTCCATTATGAATCAGAAAAAATTCTTGAAAATATCACTTCCTCAGAACCCATTAGTCTTAACAGCTATTTTTTTCCCCTTGTTTTTCCATTAGTTAAAATGCCATCTACCCCAAAACTCTTTCAGCCGAAAATGCCATCTCCCCCAAAACTTTTCCATGCGCGTCAACCTTCCTACAGCCGCAGATTAACAGTCCTGATCCTCTGTTTCCTCATCGGCATCTCTGGTTTTATCTTCGGGTTTATTGCGATTTCGCGACAGGGTTTGGGGTATAGATGTAAATACGCTAAGCCCAACTCGGTATCTGTGACTTGGGATAGGCTTGCCAGTAGTATTGACAGTGGTAACGGGGGCCAAAACAGGCATAAAGTGATGGGTTTTGTTGGTATTCAAACCGGGTTCGGATCCGCCGGCCGACGGCGATCGTTGCGCAAGTCTTGGTTTCCGTCTGATCATCAAGGATTTCAACGGTAATCAGATAATGTGTTCCCCATTTTTGGCTGTACAGTTCGACTTCTTATATCTATTTGCGTGCGTCCACAAATAGATAGAACGAAAGAAAGATTGCTGACTGTAATGTGATGCTTTATTGGGATGGTCTGACGAACATTTTTTCCCTCTTTTTTGGTGGCATATCTAGGATTGTTTTCCTAGTTGCTTGGAAGGTTTGACTAACTTTTTTAGTACAATAATGTTTCTGTACTGATGACAATCTTAATTTGTCTTACTATATGAATCAGGAATGGTTGTTTTCAATTGGACAGGAAATGTAGATTAAGAGATTCTAGTTCTCTTTGCTTTCCAAGATTACTGTACAACTCTGTTGTGTACCTTTCTTGAATTAAGCTAGGAAATATGGGGGAATATAGACAATTAAGTAGCAGTAATTGTCAAATTCAAAGTGCTGATGTCTTCGTGGGATTAGATTCGGGGTTGAGTGATTAGAATTAAGGAGCTTTTATGGGTTGTTCTCGTAGAAGAAATGTCTGCTGTGGTATAGAGCATCAAACTACTCTATAATTCATTTTCAGAAATAAAATTCTTTAATATCCCTTTTTTTCCAAGTTCATATGAAACTCTTAGCTGTAGTATAAAGATTTTTTAGGAGAAAAATATGGCTTTATAACTGATTTACGTCGGAATCTGCTTGAAAACACTTTGCCACAGCATTGATATGTCTTTCATTTTTTTTTATTTTCATTAATTGCACTTCTGTTAATTTTTATTTTTTTCTTGAAATGGGATGGCAGGTTGGAAGAATCCACGGGTTTGGCTTTTAGATTTGTAATTGGCAGAACAGCTGATAAATCAAAGATGTCAAACCTTAGGAAGGAGATAGCAGAATATGATGATTTCTTGCTATTAGATATTGAAGAGGAGTACAGCAAACTTCCATACAAAACGTTAGTGCTTTACTTATGATTCCTTGATTTTAAGCACCTGTTGTTTGTGTTTATAACTTCCTTGGTTTCTTTTACAGTTTAGCTTACTTCAAAGCTGCCTATGCACTTTTTGATTCAGATTTCTATGTAAAAGCTGATGATGATATATATTTACGACCAGGTGTGTAGTTGTGGGAAGTTTATTTTGACTTATATTTGCACCTACTTCAGTTTCACTTGCTTAAATTTTGACTTGCTCCTAAACTATGATGCACGGACACTTCTACTGCCGTGACATGTCATGTATAGTCGGTCACTGACTCTCCAATGCATCTACTATATGTAATTTCCTTCTCGGCAGTGTAATATATAGTTTAACTTGAAGTTTTTTTGTATGATAAATAGCTACTTATCCGAGATCAACGCTTTTCCGAACAAAAATCAAAATTAAGAAAATAATTGATTTTCTTAGAAGTAAACAATATAAACACAAAGATAGAATATACAAATCTACAATTTTAAATAATTTAACATATTCCAACGTATGTTTTCTGCATTTTTTAAAAATCACGTGTCAACACGTCCTTGTCGAATTTTCGTATTTGCGCAATAATAGCTTTTATTTTTTATTTTTACATGTTTTGACCGAATTTCTTCTGTCAGATCGCCTTTCCTTGCTTTTGGCTAAAGATCGACATCACTCACAAACTTATCTTGGATGCATGAAAAAAGGTCCAGTTTTCACTGACCCCAAGTTGAAATGGTTAGTACTATAATATTTTTCCGCGTGCTGATTTTTTTCTGCTGTTAATTTGTACTTCGTCTTTTAATCTTGCTTACAGAAGATTTGAAAATTGCTCCATTTTTTATCGGTTCTCTTAGTAATTATCATTTTAAGTTGTCGACTGAGTGTAGCTTGGTATTATGAACAAAGGCACAACAAATGTAGTTAGTTAATTTGCGGAAGGATGAAGCAAGATCTGGGCCCCGTTTGAGCCACATTAACGTAAGAATGAGAATGAAAATTATAGTCGTTACGAGTCCTACACAAGAAATAGAAAGTCAAATATGATGACTTGGTGTGATGGATAACGATCATATTTTTCATTTTAATGGGCAAATAATGGGAAACAAACAAGAGCTTAGTCTGCTCATATTTATGTCAGCTTACATTGCACTTACACGACCATTGAAAGCCATTATGGATGGATAGGTTAACTGTTTGTAAATTTAGTTATTCAATGTTAATCTACAACATGTTGTCGTTGGACTTCAACCTTAGTAGTTGAGCTGTTAGTACATAAAACCTGTGGCAAAATTTGAAAATTATCTTATATCACACATTTGTGTGCTTCATTAAAGGGCCTTACTGTTTACTTAATTTATGAAAGAAGTCTAAATATCGGATGCTCATTGTTTTTGTCACGTGGTCTTGTGCTATGTGCCATTTAAGTGATGAAGCCTTTTCTCTTCCAAGTTTAATCTTGTCGCAACGAGTTACGAATATTTCACATTATAGAAATTTTCTCCTTTGGTTTCTTCCAAACTCACTTTTGGGCTCAAGGTAATTGATGATGTTGGGACCAAAAGGCTAAATGGATTATGAGGTTGATGGAAAGTTCCCCAAAATGATATCTTCCACTTAAGTTATCTCTCTCTTCCTCGTACCCCCAGTGGACACAAACTATATAAGTAAAAACTATAAAATAGAACATTATGAAATACTCATTTATGGAATCCATGCAATTCCAAAATGATAACTGCTGCAGGAATGTGCGTTTATGCACCCTTCCGCATGCACAGATGAAAATCGAAACATTGAAAACAAATAAATGTATAGTTTAAGTGCAGACAAGAAAGGAAAGTAATATTACCCATATGATTTATTGTTTTTGCTGTCATTACATATGGTGATCTTATCATTTTTATTTGTACAGGTATGAACCACTGTCACATTTGCTTGGAAAGGAGTACTTTCTTCATGCTTATGGTCCGATTTATGCTCTCTCAGCTGATGTAGTTGCAAGCTTGGCTTCTTTAAGAAACAACAGGCAGGTTTTCTTTCCATTCTGTCAGTGTGTCTTTGCTATAGGTGTACTTTAAGTTATTTATTTTCATTTTTTTTTTCGTAGTAGAATTTGGGAGTTTGGTAGGAGTGAGATTTTGCTGGCAAAAGAAAGGTTTCTCGAAAATAGTCATTAGACATCAATATTTCTTCTGAGGTCTGGTGACAGTGATTTAAACCTGCCATTTGCCTTTTTAAACGATTCAATTATTGGAACTTGGAATGCAGTATTCCACAAACTTATACTGCTGAATATTTTCTTGTTCCTTTCAGAGACCCATGGTTTTCTTTTCCTTTTTGGACTTGCCCAAGGTAGTTGCTAGTCTCCTCACCTGTTGTGGTATAAATGGTACAAGATGCTAGACTCGACTGTTAACCTAAGCTCTCATGTTGAGGCAGTCGATCATCTGTTTTGCTTGAGCTTAGAGGAGCTAGACCTTTTGAATGAAAAGCCAGATGATACTTGGAGGTGTCATGCAATAATGGTTTGATTGGTACACTTGAATTGAACTTGAGAGCAGAGGAATGGTATTTATGGCAAACCATCATAAATTTGGAATATACCTGTTAGAATAAAAAGTTGAGCAATGGGACCAACAGTTACTGGGCCAGAGCCATAAGATGTAGAATCATGACAATGGGAATGGAGGAACATACAAGTGTCTGGAACGACCCATTGAACGAACTACTTTCTTAATAAGACTCTTTTAGGTTCTCTCCTAACATGCAAAGTGTATCATGGGTGTGTAGGCATGAAAACTCTAGAACAACAACATATCTTCTTATTAATCAAGTTATTTAGGAGGGGTGGATTGATGCAGTGTCACTTATGCTAACAGCTATCTTTGTCTTAGAATTGGAATAACTAGATTTAATTACTTCAAATAAGCCAAAAGTGCCATTTCTTTTAACTTAGCACGTGATCTCATAAGGATTTTTCTACATAATCTGTGCCTGCTCATACACAGGCACACACTGAGAAAGAGTTACTATATGATTCCTGTTGTTTCTGACTTGAACTTATCAGAGATTCTTATATTTTATTGTCCTTTTTATTGGTGTTGTTTGGCAAGCGTGTATATCCTAGGGTGCATCTGTTGTTGTGAATCTGCTTGATGCGAGTTATTCTCCTTTCCCAGTTTGCAAGTTGCACCGCGTATGCTTTCTCATATTTTGATTAGGTTGGAGACAGATGCCACATTTGGCAGTTCCTGGATCATCCTTTCGAAAATTGAGATGATCATCCCACATGCTTTGGCGTCTATTCTTTCCTAACGTGGAAGTGCAACCCAATACTCGAGCCTTATTTTGAGGCAGGCCCCAAAACCATTCTTGGGATGAAGATCTATTAGTTATCAATAACATTAGTGCCAATTATTATTTTGGTCCATTTTGCTCACATCAGGCATTGGCTTCAAACTTGCGAATGAATTTAAGTGTCAGGCCAATTGCTAAATTTTAAGACACGGAGATTTTGTTACAGTGTTTTGGCTTTAAATTCAGGAGAGGGGATGCAAAAGTATTATGTGGAGGGAACATTTTTTTAGTAAAATTAGAACTGTTGGTTACAGTTTGGAACGTGTCTCGCATGTTGAAGTATGGTGTCATGGAAACATGTTGCATCATGTCATGCTAAATACCTAAAATGATATTTCTTTTGGAAAACATGATCCTTTCTTGTAACTCGAGCGTCATTCACCCGTTCTTATTCCTACTATAATTAAAATGCACTTATATATTATCTTAGTTTTGCTTTAGATAAACCTTAGACTTCAAAGTGCTTGATGTAGGACAATCCTATTTCAAAAGAGAGAGAAAAAAGACATCATATTCTATTTAAGAAAGAAGAAGAAAAAGAGATAAAATCAAGGATTTTCCTACATCAGTTCTCCCTTAAAGTTCTAAATAAAATATTCCATCCTCTTAGTATCATGACCTAAAACTTATGTTGTCAACAAATAAAACATGCCAAGTGACACTCATATAAATATGCCTTGTAGTCTCATCCATGACCAAAGCAATAAGATGAGGATTTATGGTGGAATGTGATGTACACTTTTAGTAGGAAATATCTACTACCAGCCCAACTAAATTCCATAACCGTGAAAGCTCCATCGAACACCTGCTTAAAAATAGTTATATTTCTTATAGAAATTTCTATCTTCTCTGGCATCTAGTGTGGCATTCCCTGGTGGGCACCTATATATTTTTATAATATATAATATCTCCTTTATTTTATAAGTAGGCACTAAACTTATCTCCATGTTCATCATATCCTCCTTTTTTCTCTTGGCTGAGATATTACGCAAATAGCCTTCTCCCCATCCCTTTGTTTGATGTAACTTCCCATTTGGCTTCCACCCTGGACCCTCAAATCACACACTCCTGTTTCACCAACTTGTACTTAAACTCTAACTATTTCATTTTGGTAAGTTTTTTATGGTAAGTTGACGACACATTATGTGTGTATTTGAACCACATTATTTTTGAAGAATGTATTTTGGAATAGTAGATTGATGTAGAATGTGTGATTAAAAAAAAAAAAGGAAAGTTTTGAGTTTGCGTGTAATATTATTTTATTGAAGAATGTGTGCTTAAAATGATGTCAAATCACTGTTTAAGAATATATATATATATATATTTTTTTTTTTTTAATTAATTAATTAATTAATTTATTCTCCAAATAATACTGCTCAAACAGGGCCTATATTAAAATGATCATTCGTGATTTATCTTCTAATAATCTTTGTAATAAAATAATTGATAAACCAAGCTAAGAGTTGAACATGGTCCGTCTTCATGGATTCTGTGGCTGCCAGCTTGTGTCTTAGCTCTGATGGATCGAGTCTTTGCTATCTACGCAGTCCAGCCTATGCTGTTATGATGAACAGGCATTTTGATGGGCCAAATGGCCAATAATTGATGCTTCCTTGCCACTGAAACTGTTGACTGAGATTCATGCTAATCGCTTCTCTAAACCCCTTCTCTGAGCAAAATTTTGGGCCAGGGCTGTTAGGCAGTCTCACTGCTTTATTTTCCAAGCTTCTTGAAGCTAGAGCAAGCGCATTTAAAAATTTGAATTGGAATTATGTGTTTCAATTTCTTCATTTATTTTGAAATGAATTGTTAATTATCAAGAATTAGAAAAATGATATCTTACAAGTTAATTGGTGGATGTGATGCTATGGCTTCATAGCACATGTTCTTTTACTTTTAAATAATACATACTTTAGGCTGAATTCCATGTGGTTAAATGTCTAGTTTAGTGACATTTTAAGGGTTTTTTTCCTCTGAAAATTAGGAATCATCAGTGTAGTTATTTTGCTTCCCCACTGGTGATCTAATCACTATTTTCTCATTATCTCTGCTGAAAGTAATGATGGAAATGGTTCGGTAACTAGTTAATTATGGAATGAAACAATTACTTGTGAATTATTCTATGTTCATGTAATATTTTTATAATGTCACCGTCTTCTACTCTCAAAGTGTCTTCTTGGACTTTATGAGACATTCCTCTTTAAACCCTAGATCCTTTCAGTTTTCATGGCTTTAAGCCTCTGATCTATATGCTCCATTTTGTTGGATGTACAGTTTCCGCATGTTCAGCAATGAGGACGTGACCATTGGTTCGTGGATGCTTGCAATGAATGTCAATCACGAGGACAATAGGCAACTATGTCAGCCAGACTGTACACCCACATCTATTGCTGTGTGGGATATTCCCAAATGTTCAGGTATATCTCTTCTAGTGATCCTAGAATCTAACGGAGGTTGTTGATATTGGGTATAAAGCTTGATATTCCAAAGAAAGAACTGGTAATTGATCTGTGAATCAAAATCTTTGAACATCTTGCTCTTCAATATATCCCAATTTTATCAGAGTTTGTGATTTTTTTTTTTATTGACCTATCGCTGATTTAAAATAGACGAACAGATCACAGAAAAGAAGAAAGAAATCACATTTTTTTTTTTTTTACCTATCACTGATTTCAAATAGATAATAAATCTTAAAAAGAAGAAAGAAATCCCATTTTTTTTTCATGAGATGTAATGAGCCTTTTTATTCATATTATATTAAGAAAAACTTGATCTAATGCAAAACCAAAATATTCGGCTAATGCTAAGAGCAGAATATTTATATGGCAAGGAAATAAATTAAATACTTAATAAATATTGTAACTTGGCCACTCTTCTATAGGATCTCAGGGTCTGGATAATAATCGTGGTAATGTTGATGTTTTCCAGGACTCTGCAACCCTGAGAAGAAGATGTTGGAGCTTCATGCTAAAGATATTTGTTCGAAAAGCTCAACTCTACCTTCTGATGACAGTGATTAGCACTCTTGGCTGCCTCCTTCCAGACTCCAAAACGTTCAACAGATAAGTTTCGTAAGATAGATTTCACCAGTAGTCAGAAATTGCCCCCAGCAGTATATATTACACAGTTCCCTTTCTTCATTGTACTCTTATTTTTTTCATCTACAATTTTCCTGGGTGAAAATTGGCAGTATTCAATTTGAATCTCAGAACAAAAATTTGGGCTGGAAATTAGAATTTTGACTTCAGAGAAAATGATAGGAGTTAATGGAATTATTAGTTCTTGCTGTGGAAGTCGATTCTCATTCTTTATAAAAAACTGCATTCTTTGATAGTCTTGACGCAGGTGCAATAAACATCTCGATACTCGTAAGATTTTGTCTACCTAGAATCAAGCTGTTTAAGTTTTGTGCTTATATTTTTTGGTAGTATCAACTTTCAAAGATTTCCTCCTTTTGTGCCTTCAGACAAATGCATTATTCAAGTGCAAGTCCCTTGGTTTTCTGCTTGCTTCAAAAGTGTTGTGCATCTTGAAAAGTTCGCCTCATCATTTTTTAGTGCTTGTTTTTGCTAGTTGATAGTAAATGCATGTTTGATGCATAGTATCAGGTAAGACTGAACACTATAATAAATAAAATTTTAACTTTATTTTGTAATAAAAACGTGTGCACGCTTAAGATGAGGGATTGCATGATTAGAACTTGAGTGGCTCATAAGATTAGGGATTGCATAAATACAGGTTGGCAAATCCCATGAACTCAGGTTTGATTGGGATTTTTCTATAAAAGCTCAATTCATTTTGAGAAAGGTGAAGTTGAAGTCAAGTTTTTGCTTAAAGGCTACTTTATTTTCAAGTGATTGGCTGGCTTATGATTTACACAATGAATGCTAATCAAGTTATAGTCTATTAAAGCTGGTTTGTTGGTGAGCTGCAAAATATTCTTCGTTTCTTCTTTGTATTCTGGGTAGGTGGGTGAGTGGAGTAGGTGCGACCCAAAAAAAATAAAGGAAAAAGAAAAAGAAGCAATAAAAATATGATCGTGTAATTAGAACCCTATTGAGCATACATAGGTTTTTTTACGTTTGAACCTTTTTCTTTACTTATAATTAGTGTGAAATTGTCAAATGACTGAAATATATATTATGGTATTTTATGCAATAAAGCAATGAAGCACGTTGTCTTTAAATTTTGATGAAACTATGCTTTGAAAGTATTGAAAAAAATAATTTTATGAAGTTGCCTAGTATTAAATAAAAAGGTTTTGAATTATTGGAAATATATATGCAATATGTAATGATAATAAATGTTTAAAAAATTTAATAAATATAAAATATTTATGGGAATTGATGAAAATTTAAGGAACCTAATATCTCATAGTCATACATTCATTAAAAGTGATCCATCAAAATCTCAAACTAAATATTATTTTATGCCACAAATAACCAACCTCACCTTTGTAGGATTTTTCTTTTTTGTAGATTCTTTGAATGAATTTTTATAGAAATTTTGTCAATTTAGACTTTTAGCTCTACGTGACAATCCATATCAATTTATTAATGTTGTCTTTATTTCCATACGCCATATATTTGTTACGTCTCAATCTCTATAGATGAATCTTTTCTGATAGATTGATTTGGTTCGTGATTATCGATCGACGACCAATTATGATAGACATCTTTGATGTCACTAATTAAATTCTACTCAAACTTGCCATTTTCTCCTTAAATGAAAATGATTTTGCTTTTATGTTTTTGGCTTTTCGAAAATAATAATTACTTCTCTGCATTCAAACTTGGTGCACCCATGTCCCTACTAAATATTTGGACATCCTAATTTGAATGCATGTCTCTTCCATTATACATTGATCTAAGCACAATTAAATATGATATAGTTTGTCAGCTATTTATTCTTTATATTCAAATTTAAGGTAAGAGACGTATTAATAAGTGTATAAATAGTACATTGTTGACCGTCTATTCGTATCAAATGCTTCTTTAGCGTGTTTGGTAAAATGAATTATGTCATACTCAGTGTTAATTAAAAATAAAAATAAGTTAAAATTTCGTACATAATACGGATTTAATAATATGTATGTCTTTCGTACTCGGTGTTAATTAAAAATAAAAATAATTTAAAATTTTGTACGTAACTGTGATAGCAGGGACGGATACATAGACTCGCTTACTTGATTGGCTCAAACCTTACGTTGGCATTCTAGCGCACGCATGCGTGTAGGAAGGCCGACGACTACATAAGCTAAAAGACTACGACTACAGGACAAGCCAGAAGCGACTGGCTTCTATTCTCGTTGGGATTAAATGCATGTTGAACCTGCACTTGGAATACTCGTGTAAATGGGATTTGTGAAAACAAATAAATAATTACTCGAAATTACTAACTATGGTGACAATATAATGGACATTGATTTGATATGATACAAATTCCTAGTATCATGTTCTATATTTAATATCTTTTATATATGTACCATCAAAATAGGGACTAATTACTTGATAACTGGACAAATGACATGAAAAGGTTGACCGATCGAGCTCAAAAAAAAAAAAAAAAAAAAAAAAAAAAAAAAAAAAAAAAAAAAAAAACTT